GGGGCGTAGAGAGTGTTGAGAAAGATTCAGAACATGCGCGCATATTATTAGAAGCACGCTCGTGCACGCACATGGATACACACACACACACACACACACGCATACACACACACTCACATACACACACACACACACACACACACGCACAATCACTTGCATACAAACACAAAGATACTGTATTCTGATTTCTTTTCTTTTTTTATAATGACAAATGGAGGGATATGTGATGCGCTCTGCTTGAATTGGGAATGTGTCCACAAACTCAGTTTTGAGCTAGAAGCCAAAATGTGAGGTTTCTGAATAAATTTTCCATTAATGTTGGACCCCAGACTGTGTCGGTGTTTGCACTGGGCAAGTGTTGTTGGAACTGGATTCCCAAATCAAAGTTGGGAGTATCCTAGTGCAGGAAGAAATTTACGCCAACTCAACAGCAGGCGCTGCCAGAGCTGAAACAGCCGATATTTCATGTTTGAGGTATCAAATTTGTGAGCTTCACGCGTGGTATTATAACGATCTATACAATGCTAAACGAATTTATGCAATATGATGTAATGAAATATGTTATAATATGATTTAATATAATACTATCATGTCAAACTATGAATATAATATAATATCATACTATGTTATAATATAATATAAAACATCGATACAATACAATATAATACAAAGCGATACAATACATTACAATAGGAAACGATGAGATACGATACGATGCAATGTGATGCGATGCTATTCAATGAAATGCAATGCAATTCAATGAAATGCAATGCAATGCAATACAATACAATACACTATACATAACATGACATAACATAATATTGTAACATAACATAACATAATGTAAAGTGATATAATAATTATAACATGCCATAGCATAATATAATATGACATAGCATTACACGACGTAATTTATTATTTGATAATAGGCTGTATAAGTGCAAGAGAGGTAGGGCAGAAAGAGAGAGAGGGGGAGAAAGATGGGGAGGAGGAAAAATAGAGAGAAAGGCTGAAAGGAAAAGAGAGAAAGAGAGAGAGAGAGTGAGTGCGTGTGAGAGAGAGAGAAAGAGCGAGAGAGAGAGTTAAAGAGAGAAGGAGAGTGACAGAGAGAGACAAAGAGAAAGAGAGGGGGAGGGGGAGTAAATAGGCAACCAAGCCTTATCCAGTGAAATGTGTCGAGGTATGATAACATTGAGCCTAAACTTAGCTCAGGAGTTAGGCAACTTATAGCTCTAACAATAGCTGGCAGATTTATTACCTTAATAATATATCAGCTTTACCCAAGAACTCGAGCAGATATTTGAGTAGAAAAGACGATAACGTTCAGAGCATCACCTTTACAGCTCAACGTCACGTGTCTTCATTTACTCTTACATTCTCCCGGGCTCTTGAGATGAAGTGATCCCTCCCTATACTTGTTTGAAGATGAAGATAAATCCCGCTGTACTTACCCCAACACGCTTCTTATGACTTAAACCTGGGTTCATTCCATAGCTAGAGAGATTATACGTTGATAGAATCTGTAAGTGTAAGCAATTTCTACATTCCACCCCCCCTCCCCCGAGAAAAAATTGTAATTTAAAAAAAATCATAATTTTTAAATCGAGAAAACAAATAATAAAACAAAGTTTTCTCCCCCCCCCCCCCCACCCACCCACACACACACACACAATTTTTAAAACAGAAAAGATTAACTAAACCAGATATTTAAAATAAATTTAATTGCTGATGAGACTGAAAAGAATAGCCTAAAGGTGAAAATTCATCATAACAAGTTGTTAGAAGTTCGCTCTTTTATCTAAAAAGAGCCCAATGGGAGGTACGCGATTAACCAAATTATATAATCCACGCGTTTTAAAGTCGCCTTCACTAAAGTGAGGAAACGTGTTTCGAGTCCCACAATGCATTTATCTGATCATCGTAATCGCTAGGACTGTCTTGATTTTGAAGATTCATTTCGATTAAAACATCCAAAACCTATAAGGTTTGATAAAAAGGGAATTTTTCATGTAGGTTTTTGTCGCTCCCAACAGACACAGTTCGATTTTTTGAAGGAGAGCTCAGAGGGATACATCCTTCCAGCAGAGAGACCAAACTACTCGATTAAGATTTAAAATTACTTACGCAGGAATCGAACTCGTGTCCCCTACATTAGACGATTGGGCGCTTAATTCTAACCTGACCGACATTAAAAAGAGACTGATTTCCTAAGTAGCCGGAAGTACAGGAATCACATATTCATCTACTTCTGAATGTCATTCTAATGCCTATAGGGACTTGAATCAAAACATCTAGATCTACCCCTGAGTATTATTGTAATGTTTCTAAAAACAAGAATAACAACATCAACCTGTGAATATTTTAGTAATGCCTATAAAATTGTGACAAGCCCATGAAGCATAATGTGGTGCTTCTCACTCTTCTCACCAGGTGTCCCATTTCTACTCACTGTTGTGTATGGAGCGGTCCGCGGCGGAGCTCAGACTCAGGCTCACAGGTAAATATACCTTGGAAATTGTAGGTTCCAACTTAATGGCTTTGCACCTTACGAGACAGATCTCTGAGACCACTATCTCAGGGAGCACTCAGCGCTAGATCACTCATCACTGCACTGGCTGTTTTTTATCGAATGAAACTAAGAAAACTATTAAAACATACACAAATTTATAATCAAAATACATTCACAAACAGGAAAGACAGGTGCTTATTTTCAGGTT